GTTTTCTTGCAACTTTCATAACCACACGGTTCAACCTACCCCTCTTTGTAATTCGCTTCCTTCCATACCAGAGAACCAGAACAATGTGGACAGTTCAATTGTTGGAATGTTTTCTTGCAACTTTCATAACCACAAGTTTGAACCTTCCCCTCTTTGTAATTAGCTTCCTTCCATACCAGAGAACCAGAACAATGTGGACAGTTCAATTGTTGAAATGTTTTCTTGCAATTTTCGTGAACGTGTCGAATAATTTTTCCTGGAATGTGATCATCGATGTTGACTGATCGTTTGCAGTGTGGACAATTGATGGACTTAGTGAATGCTTCTTCTTGTTTAGATTGCTTTTCTGGTGACTTTGGTGACGATTGATTGGAGGCAACGTTGAGGTGTGTCGCATGACTGGATGTCGGAGATCCTCCAAGTGAGGCTAAAAGGAAGTGAAAATCATCCAATTAAATAGTAAATCAGAAGGGATGCTCGTGAGTATTTTCATATATTACAAATGCGTGAAACAATTTCATAATTAGCATAATGGGATTACCTGATGAATAGTACTGTTCTGCCAAAAGATGCTTCAGCTCAGTGAAAGTTGGGCGATCGTTTGGTGATGTCGACCAGGTCTTCTTCAAAATTGACCAGTAGTGTTGACTACAATTTGGTGGTGGAGGCAATAAATCACCACGAATGACTTTTTGAATCACATCCTCATCACGCGGTATGTTCGACCATGGCATCGAGCCTCGAGAATATGCTTCCCACATCAATACACCCATTGAATAAATATCGGATTTTTCCGTATAAACATCAGGCGTCGCACTAGATGCGAGTACTTCCGGTGCAGCATATCTAATAGGAACAATATTCAATGTTGTATGTGCAGCACCGGGTGTCATGGAATACAGTTGGCTATGTCGGCTGAGACCAAAGTCAGCAATTTTCACAACATTATTTGTCGGTTGATTTTCATCGAAACGAAATACTAGAATATTGCGACACGCTAGGTCACCATGAATACAGTCATTAGATGTCAAATATATCATCGCTTCAGTAATCTGTAGAAACATTCGGACAAGTATCTTCTCATCTGGAGCAGTTTTTCGTTCTCGGAGTAACTCATACAAACTTCCTTCCGGCGCACATTCTTGTAATAGAAGAACTGCATTATTCTGATCGGTGCTATCTTTATCATATACAAAACCAAATGTTCGAATGATATTTGGATGACGACTTAAATCTACGTAGAAAGATGCTTCTTTTCTCGCACGAGCACCATCAATTTTTAATAGAACTATTTTTGGTCGATTCGGGCTATTCAGTAACCATTCAGCACTATAAATCGTTTTTCCAAATGTTTGAAACATAGGCCGCCCTAATTTCTTTTTCACATCGACATTTAATGTGAATTGGTAACTTTTGCTGTGCATTAACGTTTCGAAAGTATCAAGGATTTGTTTCACTTTATAATTTGGATAGATGTGTTCAATCGCTAATGGTTGTCTTGTAAGCGGACTTGTACCATTTCTTCGAATCCACTGTTCGATCGCTGTTCTTTCATATGTATGACCATCTTGAGCTAAGACTGGATCACGAAATAAGTCTAATGTTATTGGACATCTTAATATGTCAACCGATTCATTCACATCTGCCATTGTCACTACGATTGCACTCAAAATTTTCCAAACTATAATGAGAAGGAGAACCATTAAGATGGTTGACCAAATTAATGTTCATGCGACGACCAGAAACTTCGAACGGAGAACAGCTATTATTTTCTGATTTTCTCTGCCTCTCCTCTATAGTGTCGATGGTACACTACGCCAACTAGAATAGGCTTATGGTAATCAATTGGCTATAGGCTAGTCATTTGTCTGAGTGTTGACGGTTGCTTGATTGCTATCTTATTAATATTCATTACCTTTGGAATTCGCTGGCGTGAGAAATCTTATTATGCTGGATCTTCTCTGCTTCTAGAGAGTAACAATTATGACAAATTATCTACTTCATTTTGTAGTTGAATCCAACTGCATATGAATGATGTAGAAGAATATGAAAAAATAAATGAACCGATGTTACTTATCAACTCCACTAACAACATTACATTTTTTATCTGGATACAGAGAACAGAAGTCTAGTGTAGTATCAAGTAAAAATCAGTGAACTTGTTCGGATTTTGATGAATGCTGTATTGTTTGGCGAGAGTGAGGTTGGTGAAATTTTGCACCACTCGATTTTCTCAATAAAAAGGCTGTCAAGGTTAAATGAGTAAGTTACCAGTTTTTTTTAAGAGAAACTGGTGACTGATTCATTTAACCTTCATAGCTTCGTTATCGAGCAAAATCGAGTGATGGCTTTGAGAGCAAAGTTATAGCTCAAATCGAGATCTATAACTTGGCAACGAAACAGTTTGACCAAGTGCCCGAAAATTCTCGAAAATTAATCAACATTAAAAGTGGTTTAAAGTAGCTTGGCCATTCCTGTGAAAAAACGAAAGAAAATAATATTTGGAAAATGGAACAATGTTTCGAGCCGTGAAAACATAAATGGATGTTGTTTTGATGACGTTAACTTAAAACGCTTACATATTTGTCGCGTTTATGGATGCCAGTCGCGGTTCCCGAGTGGCAGAGAAAAACGGTTAAAAAAAGTGGCTTTTAAAAAATGTTCGTTTGCACACCGACTATTTTTATGCGTTTGTCTTTGCTCATTGGGAACCGCGAGTGGCATCCAGAAACGTCTACTTTTTATTAACGTTTACACCGCGTTTTTGAGGATTGCGTGACTGCTGGGTGGTACATTATAAATCAAAACAAATGTTCGAATATGCAGTTATTTTGATGATTGGTGAGAAAATAAGATAGTTTAACGGTAGAATAGCTTTGTTATTGAGCAAAATCGAGTGGTGCGCTTCAGAGCAAAGTTATAACTCAAACCGAGATCTATAGCTTGGCAACGAAACAGATTAACCAAGTACCCGAATATCCTTCGAAATCAGTCAACATTAAAAGTAATTCAAAGTAGCTGGGCCACCCCTATACTGCGAAGGATATCTCTCTATCTCTATTACTCAAGTCGACTCTGTATGCTCCAAAGGATATCTCTGTATCTCTATTGCTCAAGTCCAGTCTCTAATTGGCTCAAATTTCCCGTTCAAGTATCGACATCTATCTTTTTTAATATTGCGTGTGCGGGGGTGCATTATGACAAATTGTGAAATTTTACATCTGCCTAAAGACTTCACGAACCAACCTGAAATTTCGCTTGGAATCCTATCTCACCGGGCCTCATATATGCGTCAAGTTTCATGTTTCAAGACCCACGTCGAATTTTTTTACTTTTGCGTATACCCCCCTTTTATAACATATACCCCTAAATGTTTGTGTTTCTTAACACGCTGAAGAACATGATTTGAAATTTGCAGTTTTCCCTGGGATGGCTTTTTTTGAAAAGCACATTGAGACACACTTTATTAAGTTCAATGGTAACTGCCATCGCAGAGACCACTGATAAACCATATCAAGATCATTGTTCAAAATCGCGGTGACCTTTTTGTACTTTTCGTCGCTACTATATAGTAACGTGTCATCAGCAAAAATATGAGGCTTAGAAGTAAGGTCATGTTCAACATCACCTATGTAAATGCTTAATTCTATTCTGGGCAAGTACAGGTATACGTTTTATACACCTGTTCTTGACCAAATATACAAATCATGTATTCTGACTATTTTGAGTTATGCTGATGTTATCTACACATGCATGCCGAACTCATCGTTGACGTCCATTTCACCGCTGTAGTACCGAGTGGCTCTCCTGGTTTCTGGTGCATTTCATTTGTCCAACAGAGACAGAGTTGGCTTTGACAAGCCAAGGTGGAGACTGTTCAGCATTACCTTTTGGATTGTGTATTATATCGCGCTCAAAGAATAACTCTCATTAACAAAATCTCAACGATAACAAACACTCTTACCCTAAGTCTTGATCTCCTTCTATTAAATGTGACGCTCTCGAAAGAAGATTTTTTATCTATAATGAAAATCGTTTTTTCTGTTTTTATTTGCATAAACAAGCTGAGTAATAACGTACAGAAATGGTGCAATTACTTACACGAACTTTATCGGTGTTTTATCGTTCGATTTCGAGAAGTGCTGTAA